ACTGTACCTAGAAAGTGGAAGGAAAAAAAGGAAGATAAAGCATGGAGGTATAAAGTATCTTGCCGAAAAATGCGTGGACCCTGACACACTAGGATTCGAAGCCCCCTGTTGTACCCCAAGGTCGACTGCCAGTAACCCAATGTGCATAACCGTCTATAATATACATTAATAATTCATCAACTTATGTATTCATATTTATTCATGAGTAGTTTTAATTTAAAACTTGGTTTGATTAAAAATCCTTCCAATTTGCTTCTGCAACATAAAATATGGGCCGATTAATGCTGGCCCTGGTATATCATAATATCTTCAAGAAAATTTTCCCTCGACACAATTAACGAACTACTTTTGTCTTACATTTCCTGTATTCTTTTGCACATACTCTTAAATTTACTGGTATGGCAACTTATTTGATCAGTTAAATGAGCCATTTTAAAATAAAAATTTGATTTTAGAGGCTTTCCCGACTTAGTACCTACCTAACACTTGTACAGTAATTTAAAAATACCGTATCCCTTCCAGTTCCTCTTTAATAGATGAGATGCAGTATTATCATTTTCGACATTAATTTAATTATTCTGCTTGTCAAAATGTAATGCAGTGCAATCTAATGTATTAAGAAGCTAACATGCGATGCTTCTACATGGAGTCTATCGGTAGACACTGGGTATTCCTGTACCTGTCTCTTATACACATCTAGATGTGTATAAGAGACAGCATCTATTTTGCTTGAGCGCATCTCATTAACTGCCCTCCGTGTCAAAAAGGTAAAACAATCATTACTTTCTTCAACTTTACCTAAGGTCTTCCAATAGTCCCTAACAGTATCAAGAATTTTGTCTTTATCACACGTTGTTTCACCAGTCTCTGGGATTTTAAGACAGTTAATACCAGACTTGCCATGTTTATCATTTGACCCTTTCAGAATATCCCAAAAATCTCTAGAAGAAGGTCCTCCCTTTTTAGCTATCTCAACAGACTTATTGACCCTGTATTCAGTTATTTTTTTAGAAATAAGTTGTTTGGCTAAAATTCGTTTTTCTTGGTATGAATTCCACAAATATTCTGTATAAGCACTATTAGGGTTTATTTTGACATTTTGTCTATGAACACGAGCAGCTTCCCTACGTTCTTTAATTGCACTTTTAATATCATGATCAAACCAATGTTTGTGCTTTTTACTTATTTTTTTAGTACCAATGCCATTCTTAGCTGCAGCGTTAACAATATTTTTCCATGAATCCCATAACATGTCAACATCATTAAAAGTATCTACATCCCAGTCGGAAAAGCCCCTTTCTAGATTATTCTGGTAATTAATAAAATCCTGTGTTCCTTTAGTGTTCCATATATTATCATAGGAACAATGGCTAACATGCGTGTTTAAATTGGTATCTAATTCTAACAAAAGTGTATTGTGATCGCTTCCTGTGCCTAGCTTCCTCATCAACAATAAACTTTATTGTATTATTCAAAATAGTTTTAGAACAAAGCATGTAATCAATAGTGCTTTTTTGGTTACCCTTACACCATGTAACTACACCTTCACATAAGTGAGAACAATTTAAAATATACATATTAGAATCATCTTTAAATTGACTTTATTGAGTAAATGGTTACTATAGGTCGATTTTGACGCGTTTCGAAGTTTACAAACGCAATTTCGCACGGAAGCAATCGTAACCGCGACTGAAAACGAGGCTATCTATATGTTGACAATTAAGTCGAACCGACTCTAATGCAGTTCTCCGATGTTTGTGGGACAAAACATTTGAAGAAAGCGATGACCATTGTTTAATGAACGATTCTATGGTGCTATAAACTCAGCAGAGGAGCAGTTATGTACGACAATGAAATGGTGAGTTACTTCTGGCCTAGTAGTAGTAGTACTTAGGCTAGGCTTAACGTAGGCCTACTACTACTAGGCCGCCTAGGGCCAGGCCTATATTATTATTAATTATTATATGAAAGTGGTTATTCGCACGGTATACCGTGCGAATAAGCTCTTATGAGTCTTATTCGCACGGTAGACCTAGCCAATCAGCATTTGACGTTTCATGACGTCTAATCTAACCCTGCCAATAAGTTCTTATTCCCAATTAGCACGGTACATCGTAAATAAACAATATTTAACACGGTATCGTCTCAAAAGACCTAAATATTTTAAGAGAAACTTACTTAATTTGTTACGGAATACCTAATCGAACCGAAATACCTTTTCAGATATCATACAAACATTGTCTACCGTGCAAATAGTAAATAATACATTATTCGCACGGTAGACGTAGCCAACAGCATCGAAAACACTCCCACACATTGGAAAAGGTAAAAAAGGCAGTGAAGAATGTACATCAATCTTATTTTCCAGTACATATATTCGGTGGCGGATCCAGATTTATTATGGTAGAGAGGGATTAGGAGAGACTTTTAGAGATGTGCGAGTCTACAGGTGGGCTAATTGCAGCACGATTGCAGCCCACAAAATTAAAACCCTATTAAAACTGCACATAAAATCGAGTAATTTTGCATCAGTTTGGCATCCACTCATCCTCCTCTGTTCCAATTCCCATCATGGTTGGTGCTAAGTAATTAATTTTCTTTTGTTTCCCCATTTAATATTTTTGAATGGAACAAAAATCAACATCACTACTAGGCCCTATGATAGGCAGGCCTGTAGCCAGGGGGGGTTTTTATGGTTCGGGCGAACCCCCCTTTTCTAGCGAACCCCCCTGTTTTCTAGCGAACCCCCTAGAATTTTTGAATGAGTCCCACTCGGACGGAATGTCTGTTTTTAACTTACCCA